ATATATATTTAGTTTAAATCAATTTGGCACAACTCTGGTTACATGTATGGTTAAAAATATATTTTTCGTCTTATATTAAAAATGTTTAAAAAATATTGTTCAGTATATAAAAATGAGAAAAATTTAACTTTTAAAATTATAATCTGCAATATTTTTTTTATATAAATAGATAATATTTGTAGGTACATTTAATTGAATATAAAAAATAAATGAATATAATATTATAAAAACCATGTGTGTTACCAGTACGCGCGAGGGAAGTTAAACTTCTTTTGAATGGTACACGTGAGTGAGTGAAAAAGAAAGAAAAAATATTAATTAATTTAAAAAATGAGAAGAAGTATCCGGAATTATTTATTGATAGTTTTATTATTTTTTTTATATTTTTATTCAACAGATCGATGGATAATTGTTTGTAGTATTGTTTTTATCCAGACAATAGATTTGTGAGTGAATACTAATAATAATAATAAAAATAAATAATATTAAAAAAAAATTTGGTTGCTCGTAAAAAATTACAACTCTTAAAAAAATTATGATTATTGAACTCCTTTTGGGTGTAACTTGCTGGGATAAGTGCAGCTCAGCCACCCTGGTAAGCAATGTTCAATAATTTGATTTGATGCAAGCTTGTACCTGATCTGCTCGAATAACCAATGGCAACCAATAAATAAATGCTAATTTCTAATGTAGACTGTAACCAATGGCAACTATTAATAAATAAAAATAAAATTTCCAATTTCCTTCTTGAATCTCAATGTCCCTGTTTAAGCACCTATTTAAAATGCGAATTTCGAAAAATCCTTTCTTAGCGCACGTCTACATCATAATAGCTATCTGTATGCCAAATTTCAGCCAGATCCGTCCAATGGTTTGAGCTGTGCGTTGATAGCAGTCAATCAGCTTACTGTTGTATATATATACATATATATATATATATATTATAATAAATAATAAAACAACATTACCATGACAATATTTATTTATTTACGGACATGTACGCTTTCGCGTTCGTACGGCCGCCCGTTCGTACGCGCCGCCCGTTCGTACACGCCGCCCGTTCGCTTTTTTTTTTCCTCACTACCGTGCGTAAAGAAGTATAACTTCAATAAATCATCAAGGTAGGTATATAATAATGAAAAACAGTAAATATTAAATTTGCAATTGAAAATTGTATGCAATGCTACGAAGATAGTCTTCAATATTTGTATTATTGTTATAATTGGTTCAAATTTTTTTTATTTTAGCTGCTCTATCTCGGTAAATTTTTTTTTTGGGTGGCTCGTTTCCTCCAACATATTGTTCGATTTTGAATCTGTTAATGCTCTCTTCTTTTTTTAATGCATCTATAAATCGCCAAATTGAAGGACGCATACTATTTATAACTGATGTGAAACAATTGCGCCACCCTTCTATAGCATTATTTGCGGTAGCCAAATCTTGGATTACTCTCGAAAAACAGTTCCCTAATGTGATTGCATACTTTGGCGGCTTTCTTCTTCCTCTCCTGTCTAATTTTCCTACCCATGTATTTTCGAAATAATCCAACAGACGGTGTTTGTGTGTATATATGTAATCGTAGTTATGTGTAAGGGTGTGTATTCAACTATAAATTATATACAACAATATGATGTTGACTATATTTATATTTTCTATGTTGCTGTATTATATCAATAAAATGACCTATATATAATTCACAAAGATACAAAAAATATAATATAGACTCCTCCTGGCTCAGTAATTACATAATATAATAATATATTATACATAATACTAATACAATAATCAATTGCCTGTTGCAACCACCAGCTTATATAAATAATATTATAACTGTTGCCGCCGCAACATAAAAGCATTACGCAACGTACCTACCCAATTAAAAAAATAAGAATATAGGACATCGGTCACCGGGGAACAGCTGGACACACACACACACACTCACATATCACTATTTGTATTGTTTTATTATTATTATCGTTGAATGTGTCTTGTGAATTATATAATATGTAGATTAAACGTTATCGCACGCCGCCGCGCCGTCTATGCGAATATTTATTTAGCACGGCGGGCGTGAATCTGTCCTGTTTCGTTCGTCGTTCCACGAACACCGAAGTGTTAAATAATATTATACTTGTTGTTTTTTAATATCTAGTCATAGGCGCAAATCGCCACCCTTTTATATTTAATAAATTATATTACCGCATCATGTTATTATTGTGAGCCATAAGGGCATTATTATTATTATATTGGTCCATTTTTCAATATTCATTGTATTTTTACGTGTGTGAATCGTCAATTATTATTATTATATTTGTTATACGCCAAGTACCACGGCATATTGTATTTTTATTTAGCACGGGACCAGCTAGCTAGACTGCGCTCCACAAACTGTGAGTTTTTATTATTATATTATTATTTTACAATATTACACATTTAGTTGTTAATTGTTATGCCAAAAGGGCCTTAGATATTTTATAATTATAATACTACCGTGCCAGAAGGGCCGCATATCATTTTTATATTATATACCTGCATACAAGCTAACAGTTTAAATAGCTGGTCAATTTATATTTATTCTGTTTAGCCATAAGGGCCACATCTTAATTTAATATATTTTAACTATTATTCACCTTATATATTTGTTGGACCATAAGGGCCACATCATTTATTATCAATAGCAGCTCATAAAGTTTGCCGTATTATTTTATTATATTGTTTCGATAGGGCCAGAAGGGCTGTTTAATATTATTGTAATTTATTCTGTTCGGCCATAAGGGTCGTGCATTATTATTTTATTATTTATTATATTTTATGCCGCTTGGCTAAGAGCGTGTATTACCTAATATATTATTATATTGTTTATGCTGCTGGCTATAATAGCCGTGGACTAATTATTATATATTTATTTACTATCATATTTTTTATACCTACTGTGTTGCTGTGATTTTTTATATATTTGTATTATTATTATTATTGTGTATTATACAGCAACTCAGCTATCAGAAACCGTGTTACCATTTTTTATTACCTATTTGTTTAATTGTATACACACCTACACACATACACATATTTATAAACAATTACACATAATTACACAACACGCACTACATAGCCGACAGTACTTGCTAGGCGATCCCGACCACTACTGTTCGAGCTATTACACCATTACACATCCAGCTTGTTCTCCATAATTCCAGGAATTAGGTGTTAGTGGTGTAAGGTGAGTTATTGGTGTCCGGGCGCGCGTATTAATATTTTATGCTCCCGGCCCGCACAATAACACTCACGGTTTGTCGGTGCACTTTACTGGCCGGCTTCAAAACACACACATTTGAAATTATATGTGCCTGATAATTTAAAGAATTGTAATTTTAAATAATTACATTTTATAATGAAAAGCTCGTGAAGTTTAGCGCACACTGATATAATAGTCAATAATTATAAAAGTATGTAATCTCTAACAAAGCAAATAAAAATAATAATAATTGATGTTGATGTCTGACTATTTGAGCAATCGCAAAGCCAACCAGACAGTAATTTAGAAAAATATTATGCTTAACTTCCACAACTATTGCATATAATATGCATACAATAATAAAAAAAAATTCTACGATTAGCGCTCATACAATATAATAAAATAAACGGACATCATATCTTTATATAACTATACTATTTAAACGATTGTGAACTCACTAGCATCTATAAGAATAATGACCGATAAGTATAATTTTTTATGCATATCGATATATGATAGATATCTATCAATTAATGTGCATTATTTATACAATCAAACAAATAAGCTTCTTATATGCTAGATTGTATAAATCAAAGCTTTAAAAGTTTTAATAAACCGCATGGTTTATATGCATTAAGAGCACTTATTATCGCTCATTTTGAAGTACCTACCTTATATCTAGTTATAACGGATATTGATTGATGTCTTTTACATAGGTTTTTAAAACATCATACACACATAGAAATGTGGAGTTGTATTAACTCCAAATGTTCTCAATGCCAAACACATTCGCACGTCGATTTTCGCTTACTGCGGCTGGACGGTTGTTTTAACATCATCATATTTCTCACGCTATAATTTGAATGTAACTTCTTATTGGAGTTAAAACAACACCAGATTTTGTTGTTCCTTTTAATTGTTTGATGTTGTTTTAACATTATTTACGTGTTGTTCTGATAACAAATATTACGTGTTTCTACTACTAAAAATAGTTAAAGGAACACCCTATTGAAGGTTGGAAGAGACCCTATATTTAATGTTTATTCTTACAAATAAACAAGTTGAATCAACTTATCTACTTTTGAATTTAACTGTCATAAACAAGTGAAGTTAACAACAACCGATCTTAAAATATTGTAATTATTTTTAAAAAAAAAGTGACAAGAATTTTTCTCATCCATCCAGTTTCGAACCCGCGACTATTAACCTATCTGTCGATTTTCCTACCTAATTCCTACGCGTTAAACCATTAGACTACCTACCGGGGGTGATTATATCACGATAAAATACACTATTTAAACAAGTCGTTATAATATTGTAGAATTAGGTGTTTACTATTTTCAATCATATTTGTGATAATTATTTAAAAAAATAAAAAATAGTAAATATAAGAACTAAGTAGTAAGTAAAGTATAGGTACACAATCTACCTACCTCATAGATATTTAGCCTTATTTTTTTTGAGGAGTGAAAAAACTATTAGACCAGGCGTGCCTATAGCCTAACCTTTTTCAACTTTATATAAATTAATATCAACAGTGATTGGAAACATTTGACATTTAATTACAACTACTACGGTTATAAGCATATATTTTTTATTTTTTTTATACATATTATAATAAAAACAAATTTAACATTTAAAACCTAGTTATTTATTAGGTAGGTACTTAATTAACAATTAAAATACAAATATGTGTTTTATGTAATATCTAATATCATTATAAATTAATAATATTTATACAATTTATCACTTATGGGTTATACATTTATAAAGCATATCTTATGGTTACATAAAGACTACCATCACCTAAAACCCGGGTAACCGATGGGGTTGAATCAGGTATTTGATTAACATAGTATCCAATTAGATCATAGGTATTAGTATTGTCTTCTACTTCGTGAGCATAAAAGTGATCATTAAAACCTACAGAATATAATGGTTTAACTATAAAGTAGGGAATCATTGATTTTCCAATAAGTATTTTCTCAACTTTACCAAATAAACAACCATCTAAATTCACCTCTAAAGTCAAAACCACACCAGGCTTATAAAATATTCCTTTGTACTTACACCAAGATACAAGAAGAGAAATATTTTTTAATTCATCAGGCATTGCCTGGTGAAACAAATGGGTAAATTGAACTGCAGATAGAAAACTTTGTCCTGGGCCAATTTCCAAATCAGCTCTTAAACCCTCTTGTTTAAGTAATCGGCTTGCCATTTGTAATTGAATTTTATATGCTAAGGTATGACCAAGATTAATTCTACATGGCACAGAATTGGAAATTGATTTTAAAATTTTATGCTTTGCTTCAAAACGAATAGATGAAGTCAAAATAATTGGCCCATTTTTCAGTAAAAGACGACCATAATGTGTTAAAACATGAAATTTTGGCTTTAATTTAGACTGAGAGTGCAATAAGTATAGTCGATTATGTTCAGCAACTAAGTTGTCTAGTTGAACAGCACATTCTTTTTGAACGTTTCTGGCACAACACAAATCAATAATTTTTCTTAAAGTAAGATAAAGGTTCCATACATCACATTTTAAAGGGACCAGCTCACCAATAATAAGGCCAAAGTATCGTACGAAACATAACATTTCTGCTGCAGACATGATAATCATACCATTTTTCAAATTTCCCAGGGTAATACAAGGTGGCCTGTTTTTACTTTCCAATACGCCATAATCAAATAATTCTATACGACTATTTAAGTCATCGATGCTAAAAAAATTATTTTTAATTAAGTTATTTATAATTACAGCCATATCATATCGTGCTACACCTTCGGGAACGTCATGCATAAAATCACATACAATGTTTTCAGTTACATGAAAATTTGGTACATCATTAAAAATACAACGTTCATTCAATCCAGTTACAGAAACATTAGCTTGTATTAAATCGCTTTCATAATTTATTTTATTTCTGAGTAATTTTGACTCACAAATAAAATTTTTGAGATCTGATTTTGGAGAGCGACAAATCCTACAATAGTGATTAGCTGAAAAGCTTTCAACAAAACCTAATATTGAGTTCAGTCCCAAGTTATCCCCTAGTACTAAGCCCAATGCAAAGTAAATAGTTATGTTATTAGATAACTGAATTCCGTATTCTTGAATTTCAATTAATTCTTTTATCAATGCTCTAAACATTTTCTTATTAGAAATTTTATGGCGACTACGATCAGAAGAGTGGAATAAAAATGCAACAAAAACATTGTCCAATGAAGATAAGTACTCAGGGGGGAATGCGGGAATAGTGTAATAAATACATCCAATTTTATGGATTCCTGAATGGGAACCTAAAGGATTTCCCATTTCTGCATCGTCATAATATAAAAAAATAGGAAAAACTGTTTTATCAGAAAATTTTGATTTCATATTTATCCAAGTAGAACCATCTATAAAAGAAGAAAGTACACTTGGGTTAGTATGGTTATTTAAAAACTGTTGAGCAGTTTTTAATACTCCGGGGAGTTCAAAAAAAGATTTTAAATTTTTTTTTAAGGATAATAAGTGACCTTCTACTGGAACCATTAACAATTTTTCAACTCCATTTACACATTTTTTTTCTTTGCAATAACCTACATTTATTGTTTGAGGTTTAAAAAATAAATTGTTATCCTCTAAATATTTCATTCTTAAATGGTCAGTATTCAATTTAGAAAATGGATTTTCTAAAACTTCAAACAATTTATCTATTTCGTGTTTTTGAACAGGATCACAAGACTTTAAAAGTGGCTCTAATTTAATTTTTAGTTTATTTATTATTCCATTAGTAATTAAATCATCTGTGTCAGTAACTATCTTTTGCAACAGAGACCTAGTTACATTTGGTTTTGATTGCAAATCAACCACAAATCTCATTACACTTTGTAATATTGTATTTTTAAAATCTTCATCTATTTTATTTTCATATGTTTTATCAATATCTGAAGTATTAGGATCTAAGATAATGTTATTTATGGAAGGATTATGAACTTCAGAGTTTTCTGGTACTTGAGTTTTAGGCAAATTTGTACTTATACCAGGTTTTGAATTGGAATTATTATAAACTATAGAATGATCTCGATTTAAATGTTTTCTAAATTTATTAAATCCCCTGAAGTCCATTACACAATTATTTTGGTTACAAACACACAGTGATTGATTTGTTAAATTATGAAAAATTTGTAAATGTAAAATTAATTCATTTATTGTCAAAATTGTGTTTATAGGACACTTAAAACAGGTATACATATTAATAATATTTACTTTCTAAAACTTTTTGAATATATAAAATAAATGAATAGTAATACTTCAGTTATTGAAGAGCATCTAATTTTTTAGACAAAGTATTTGTTATGGCTGTTGGTTTATCATACTTGGTCTTTAAATTAAATACATGGATTTGAATAAGCAGCCATGTTTCATAGCACTCTCTAGGGTAAGAGCAATTAAAAGAGAAGTAAGTCTTAAAACATATACTAAGAGCTTTTAAAGGACAGTTGGTTGACCACAATTGGTCATTAACCTGAATATAACTATTTTCAATATCAGATAAAGTTTTACCAACTATGATTAAAAATGGTTGAATTGTTGCACCATGCTCCATATAATTTCTGCGTCTTCTAGAAATACTGTGTTCTAATGTAGTTAAGTTCTGAAACAATAATTTATATTTTATAGTTCATAAATTATAAGTAGTAAGTTTTCTAAATAAAAAAAAAATTTAATTAAACTATAAGTATTAAAAATAATAAGTTTATAATTTTAGTCTTACAGTAACATGTGTAACAAACGCAGAAGCTGACTCTTCTAAGGACGGTTTCCAGAATTTCTTAGCTGCATTAATTTTTGGATTTTTAATCTGAGTTTTTGTAGGGATGAGATAAGGTAAAAGTAGCAGTCTAATAATGTTGATAGTTCGGTATTCTAGAAGCAAATAATGATCTTATAATTTATTATATAAAACTTAATAAAAAAAACAATTAAAATAGTACCTACCTTTATTTAATTCTGCTGAATCAAGTTGGGAAAGTAATTGTAGAGCATGTTTATCTTTAACAGAACCTCGTCTAATGTTAACAATGGATCTAGTAAAACAAGTCCAGTTTCTTAGGAAAATATTCCAATCTTTGAATTCTTCTCTATTAGGGTACTGAAGTTCAAAATCTTTTTCAACCTGAAAAGTTATTATAGGTACCCAATAAAATATGTCAAAAATACATATTAACATCTACTAACCAATTCATATCCTCTTGGGTTTTGAAGAATGGGCCACAATTCAAATACATCTGACAAATTCAAGTTATTTTGAATTTCAGCGCATCTTAGTTCATATGTTATTTCCCATTTTTTAAAAATTTCATTGAAAGAAGCGTTTAATCCATCATTACTAAGCCACTCTTTAGCTAATTTAACTTCATCTAAATAAAACATTTTTACTTAACTATCCGGTGGGTACCCATATTTAAATTCAAATAAATAAGACATTACCTGAAAATACATATGGTATCAAAGTGCCTGTTGAATCATCAAGTTTTTTCTTTTGACTTTCTAATGCACCAACTTTTCTTAAACGCCTTGAAACATTTTTCCAACGTTCTATTAATTTACCTTTTGCATGAGATTGCCCTTCTTGATTTGCAGGTATAAAATAAACACTCTGTTTTTTTAAAAATATGTTATACATTTATTGTAGTGCTTATGTACATAAAAGGCATAATTAAAGAGATAGGATAATATAATTTACCTCTAATTCATTTGGAAATATTTCCGTTATTATCTTGGCAATGTTTCGAAAAAATAAATCTGTACCTCTAAAACATAATATTAAATTTTGATTTAGTTATATTAAGTTAATATTATTTTGATTATAGGTAGGTACATACTTGCACTGATCTTGGAATAAATAATTAATTAGCAACTTTGTCAACATATTTTGCCCATCATCAGTTAAGTAACCATTATGTGATTGTTCATCAGCAATAATAAATCGTCCATCATTTGTAGAACATAACAATTCTAATACAGTCTACAAAATAAAATAATAATTATTATACTAATAATATTCAATTTAGTTTTTCCAACAATACAATCTAAATAGCTGATAACTTTTAAAATGGTATAATAATATACTATCTATAATCAATGATAATATCTACACCTATATCAACTAACTATGGTCAAAATGAACCAATATGTCGCTGTATGTATTTAGCTAATCTAGACCCTTCCTTCTCACTAAATAATTTTTGATTTTTCTATTTATAATATATTTCTTGTAATAAATATATTATTGTAAATTGGGCAAAAGCCCATGTTGTATTATAAAATAAAATAAAAATAAATAAAATAAAAAATATCATAAAAAAATGTTATTGTTCCTATGGATGCTAGGTAGATAGTTGCTATTAACATTAATAAATAAATATTATTAAATAGGTATACACTAATGCATAGTATATTAATATGTATTACCTCTTTAGTCCACTGCATGGGTTTATAAAATCCATATTTTGTATGTGACTGAGTAGAAGTACTAGTAGATGAACTTGGATATGCCCTCGAATACGGTAGAAATCTGTTTGTGTTATTTTCTACTGCAACTTTATCATTCTCATATATTGATTTTGGGGCGTTTAAAATAATAGGTGCATCCAATGATGTTAAATAAAATCCTTCACTATTTTCAAAATCATGAACCTCATTTATTTTAACAGCTTCAGCTGTAACATAATTTGGAATTTGAAAATCTTCATTAACGATTTCCTAAAAGATATAAAGCATTATTGAAATAAAGTGTAATATAATATAAACTAAAGTCAGGACATCAAAATATTTAGATCGGTATGGATACCTATACGTTATACAAATTCACCAGTAATATTGTGATGATAGTGTTAATACCTAGGCACTTAATATGTAATAGGTATAATGATTAATCAATCTATTCCAAACCTGAATAAAATAAGTTTATTTGTATTTATTATTTGTCCAGCGACTAAGTATAATATAGGTACTATAATATTCTAAATAGGTACATACCGTGCAGTTTAATGAATCCATGATAGGTACTTGCAGTCTGCAGACTATATTATGTAACAGATTGATGTTGTACTAAACAAATAAACTTTAAGCACTGATACTTTAATAGCTATTATAAAAGCACATATTAATCGTCAATCGATATTGTTTTAATTATTCAGAGTTCAGACGTCATTTAGTGTGAATACTATGCGTCCACGCGCGGTACATAACAATTAACAACAATTATTATTCACAAATCACGGTGAAAAAATATAATAACATAACCCAACAATAACCGATATATAGGTACCAATACCATGGTAGTATGGTACAACTTGTTAACAGTAATAATTTGTATTGTGATTGGTGATGATATTGTTAATAGTTAAATTATGTCATGCTATTTTTATCACAACCGTAAAAATAATAATAATGTTTGAGTGTGTTTGTAGTCAAAATAACTCCATTGCCGTGTTATCACAATAACATTTAGCGGTCAAATTTACAATTATATTTTGACTTAACTCAAATCAAATTTTAATTGGTAACAACTTTACAAATATATTACATTGACCACAGTACCTACTATTTCAACTTAAAACTAAAATATATGAAAATAACTGCATACAATTGTTAGTTTAATATATATTATTACGTTTGATGTACGATTCTTAGAATAACAAGTTACAATTGTTAAGTTAAGACAATACTGGGACCATCTAAATACTAGTATATTCTTAAAACAACAGAAATATTAGTGCTAAAACAAACTTAATACAACTTTAAAATTAACTATTTCAACATTTTTTAAATGAGACCTATTAATTTTAATCGAAGCATAAATAAATTACGAGACGACAACGAAGTATTTTAACTTTACTATTTACAATTTGTTGCTTTAGAATGTTTAATGCTCAACACTTGATAGTTAAATCAAGGTTCCATTAAGGTTTCACTTAACAACAAAACCGATTAAACCGAGTTTCTAGTATGTGACATCAGAGTTAGGAGTTAATTTAACTACCCCATTTTTATGTGTGTAGACGTTGCAACTTGTACCTACCTACCTATTTAATATACCTAAGGATAATATTATAGGCATAATCTGAAATGTTTAACTTTTCAGAAGAGCCAAAATACAATATTAACATTCAAACCATCGATTTTAGTTACCTATTAAATTAAAAGATACATACCTGAAAATACACAGTTATAAAAGAATATAATGATCTATTTCTGGTTGCAGAATATAAAATCAAAAAACTCGTTGTACAATTGTACATAAGTACTTAACGTCTTAACCTTAAAAACTCTACACTGTTTAATATTGGAACAATACTATTCTATATCTTTATTGTTATGTTGATTTAACGCAAATATGGTTTATCAATAATCGAGGAAGTATAAATTAATACATTATATACATGATATAATAACTAAAATTAAAAAGTGTGAGCAATGTATAAACTGAGCCAAGAAAAATAGGTATGAATTATGTACGTATTATATTCTCTTTGGAAATGACATGGTCCGGTTTCAAAACGCATAGCCCATAGATATAGGTAAGAGTTTTTTTCGTTGCCCAGGAGATGTACGCTAAATATGTATTGTTTATACTTTCCTCCGATTGTGAATTTTCTTCGTCAGTACAGTTTTAATTTCATACGAATTATTTTCCAGTTTTAAAAAAGTTATTTTAGTGTCACTTTATACAAATTATAAATAATAGTTCAATAATGTGTGTATATTTCTTTTTTATAAAATGCACTTTTAGACAGTTAAAATTAATTTAAATTTTAAAATAACTATTGAACGAGAAACAACAGTATTGAATGTGGAAGGACGAAGACAACTACGGATATCATGAATGTGCTTTTAGATAACTCACGATTGACGGTAATATATCACAATAACATAGTACCGTCGTTAAACAAAATATATTAGATTCTCATTGGAGAGAACAATGTAACGACATAATACGACACAAGCAATAGACGCGACATATCAGAATAAGTAGTTTGTCAACAGGAAAGTTTCACGGAAATGACAAGCGAAAACCACATTAACAAAGCGAACACCAACGGGTCGAGGTGTGGTTATTGCTTGTCAAAACAACCACCCTCGACCAATCACAGGACAACAAAGAGAAACAAACAGTATATATACCGGGACAGTTCACCGGTCAAATCATCAATACAATCATTCTTAACCATACTATCCCCCCAAAATGGATAACTTAAAAATTCTATTTTGGAACTCAAACGGCATTAACCACAAACTTGACGAACTGCGCTCTTTAGCACTAAAACTGAAAACCGACATAATCCTACTTAACGAAACCCACCTAAAACCCTCTGCCAGACTTCACATTCCTAACTTTTTTACGTACAGGAACGACCTGCCGCCCGTGCGGGGCTCGCCCGCCCACGGAGGCACGGCCGTTCTCGTCAACCGACGTATCGTCCACCAACCAGTTACCCTAAACACAACCATCCAAACCTCTTCCATCCTCGTACAACTAAACGGCCACGAAGTACTTATTTCAGCCGTATACAAACCACCCGGAACCCTACTAACGACAAACGACCTCGACCTTTTGACAAAGAGTGCCGAATGGCAAATTTCGGCAGGCGACTTCAACGCCAAACATCCGCTGTGGTATAGCCACACGACTAACGCTGCCGGCCGTGTCCTCTTTGACCACGCACAACAATCGGACTACTCTGTAACTGCTCCCTCTTCTCCCACACATTTCCCGACATGCACACGATACAGACCTGACATACTCGACATCGCCCTCGTACGACTACCCTATCAAACCCAAATCATTAACCTCAACGAACTATCTTCCGACCACAACCCCATTCTTCTAGATACACTCTGCACTCCGATCTCTTCTTCTCCACCGGTTACGAATCGGTTTATTAACTGGAAAAAATACACGACAACTCTCGCGAACTTACCGAACTCAACCACTCAACTGACCAACGACCGTGAGTCTATCGACCTGGCAATCGAAAACCTCACAAAACATATCCAACAAGCGGTTGAATCCAGCGTATACGTACCGACACGCAAACACCCGTCCACTGTAGTACCAGACTACATTAAACTGGAAATACAAGACAAAAACCGTATACGCCGCGAATGGCAAATAAACCGCGACCCGACAATTAAACGACAACTAAACGCCAAAATATCTCTCATACGTACCTTACTCGCAACGCACAATACTGACCAATGGGACATCTTTCTTAACTCACTAGACCACCAAGACGGTTCAATATACAAACTCAACAAATGTCTCTTACACAAACGTCCAGCATCTCACCCACTAACCGGCCCCGACGGCCTAGTCTTTCCGGCCAACGAACGAGCAGAGCTGATAGCCGACTCGTTCGAACGTCAATTTCAAACAAACCCCGGCCCCGACTTACCAGACGTAACCGCTCACTCCCAGTACCTACAAGGCCTTGACATCACCCGATCTAACCTCTTTACCACTCCCGGCCAGATACAAGACATAATTCGCAACCTTCGCAAAAAGAAAGCCCCAGGTGACGACCTCATCACCAACACGGCTCTTAAATTCCTACCGAACAACGTTATACTGTCCCTTACTCGGATCATCAACAGCGCCTTCAGAATCTGCTACTTTCCCCTTGCCTGGAAAAAAGCAGTCATCATCTCCATTCCCAAACCAGGCAAAGACCATAAACAACCCGAAAACTATAGACCAATCGCCCTCCTCTCCTCCCTGTCCAAAATTTACGAACGACTCATCCTCACCCACCTACAAGACAAACTCAAAAACAAAATCCGTCCCGAACAGTTCGCCTTCAGACCCGAACACTCGACCACACTACAACTGACCAAACTCACCCACCAACTGAGCGAAAACTTTAACAACGACTTAAACACTGCTTCCGTCTTCCTCGACGTGGAGAAAGCATTCGACCGCGTCTGGCACGAAGGCCTACTCTACAAACTCTCCAAACTCAACATCTCGTTAGAAATCGTAAAAATCATCCAATCCTTTCTCACCGACCGTACTTTTACCACTAAAATTGAACACTCCTTCTCTACTACCAGACACGTACTCGCAGGAGTCCCTCAGGGCTCCTGTCTCTCACCGACGCTATACTTGACGTACATTAACGACATTCCAACGACTCCTAAAGCCAACCTCTCACTCTTCGCTGACGACACGATGTTCTTTACTAGTAATAAAAACCCCAAACGTGCAACCATACAACTACAACACCAACTCAACCTCGCGTCCAACTGGTTCCACAGGTGGCGAATCAAAATAAACCCGACCAAAACAGTAGGCGTCCTCTTCGGGCGTTCTAATACAACCCACATTCCACCTCTAACCATCGATAACCAACCCGTTAACTGGTCAAAACAGGCCAAATACTTAGGCGTCACGATTGGACGTAAACTTACATTCAACCAACACATTCAAGACGTAACCAAAAAAGCTACCCGCGTCCGTGGTATGCTTTACCCCTTACTTAACCGTACTAGTCCCGTTCCGCTGAAAACAAAACTTAACATACTTAAACTCTACGTGACCCCTATACTTACATATGCTGGCTCTTCCTGGGCACCCTTTATCGGCCCCTCCCATTGGAGACGTATTGAATCCGTCCAAAACATCGGCATACGCACGATAACCGGTATGCCCACTATCGTTAGAAACTCGGTCCTTTTAAAATCAGCCAACTTCAAATCTATCCAAAATTCCATTTGCTCTCAATCAAAAACAATGTTCTACAATAACTCTTTTTCCGAATACGATCATATCCGCCTCTTAGGTAAAACCCACTCCCCTCCAACCACCAAACGTTTACTCAAACCATACCCATTAAATTGGACTGACTTACATAACTGAACCTACCAATCAACCCCAAAATCCATCCACTAGTAGAGGCACAAGCCTGGAATAGTAAACGGCATAGCCACCCCTCCCAAAGCAAAGCAAAAGCAAAGGTCAAATCATCTTCAACACCAGTCTTCAACATATCTTCTATCAA